TTCAACAATACATTAAAAGGATCATTCACTACAATCAAGTGGGATTTATCCTGGGGATGTAGGGATGGTTCAATAGTCACAAATCAATGTGATACACCACATTAACAAAATCAAAGATAAAAACCATATGATCATCTCAATAGACGCAGAAAAGGCTTATGACAACGTTCAACATACATTCATAATAAAAATTAAACAAAGTGGGTTTACAGGGAATGTAATAAAAGCCATATACGAAAACTCCACACCTAATAATATCATACTCACTGTAAAAACTGAGAGCTTTTCCTCTAAGATCAGGAACAAGACAAGGATGTTCACTCTTGCCACTTTTATTCAACATAGTATTTAAAATCCTTGGTAAAGCAATCAAACAAGAAAAAGAAGAGAAGATATCCAAAATGGCAAGAAAAAAGTCAAACTGTCACTATTTGGAGGTGACATGATACCACACACAGAAAACCCTAAGGACTCCACCAAAAATCTATCAGAACTAATAGATGAATGCAGTAAACTTTCAGGATACAAAATTAACATACAGAAATCCGTTACATTTCTATACACTAATAGTGAAGTAGGGGAAAGAGACATTAACAAAACAATTCTGGGGCAACAGGGTGGCTCAGTAGGTTAAGCATCTGACTTTGGCTCAGGTCATAATCTCATAGCTCATGGGTTCAAGCCCCATGTTGGGCTCTGTGCTGAGCCTGGGGCCTACTTCGGTTTCTGTCTGTCTCTCTCTCTCTTTCTGTCTCTCCCGGCTCGTGCGCTCTCTCTCTCAAAATAAATAAACATTAAAAAAAATTTTTAAGTAAATAAAATTTTTTTACAAAGTTAAGAAAAAAAGAAAACAATTCCATTTATAATTATACCAAAAGAATAAAATATCTAGGAATAAACTTAACCAAGGAGGTAAAAGACTGATATTGTGAAAATTATAAAACACTAATGAGCAAATTGAAGATGACAGAAATGGAAAGACATACCATATTCATCGGTTGGAAGAATATTGTTAAAATGTCCATACTCCCCAAAGCAATCTGCAGATTTAATGCGATCCCTATCAAAATATCAATAGTATTTTCCACAGAACTAAAACAAATTGTCCTAAAATTTGTATGGAACTACAAAAGAGCCCAAACAGCCAAAGCAATCTTGAAAAAGAACAAAGCTTGGAGGTATCATAATCACAGACTTCCAAGATATACTACAAGGCAATAATAATCAAACAGTATGGTTCTGGCACAAAAATAGACACATAGATTAATGGAACAGAATACAGAGCCAAGAAATAAACCCACACTTATATGGTTATTCTATGACCAAGGAGGCAAGAATTCACAGGGGGAAAGACAGTCTGTTCAATAAATGGTACTGGAAAAACTGGCTAACTACATGCAAAAAAAATGAAACTGAACCCCTTTCTTAAAATTTTTTTTTTTCAACGTTTATTTATTTTTGGGACAGAGAGAGACAGAGCATGAACGGGGGAGGGGCAGAGAGAGAGGGAGACACAGAATCGGAAACAGGCTTCAGGCTCTGAGCCATCAGCCCAGAGCCTGACGCGGGGCTCGAACTCACGGACCGCGAGATCGTGACCTGGCTGAAGTCGGACACTTAACCGACTGCGCCACCCAGGCGCCCCTGAACCCCTTTCTTAAACCACACACATAAACTCAAAATGAATTAAAGACCCAAATGTGAGATCTGAAATCATAAATTCCCAGAAGAAAATAAAGGGAGTAATCTCTTTGACACTGGCCTTAGCAACATTTTTCTAGAAAGGTCTCCTCAGGCAAGGGAAGCAAAAGCAAAAGTAAACTATTGGGACCACACCAAAGAAAACCTTTTGCGACAACAAAGGAAACCATCAACAAAACAAAAAGGGAACTAGTAAATGGGAGGAGATATTTGCAAATTATCTATCCAATAAGGGACTGATAAAAAAAAACAAAAACAAAAACAAAAAACTTCTACAACTCAACACCAAAAAACCCCAAATAATCTGATTTAAAATGGGTAGAGGGGAGCCTGGGTGGCTTAGTTAAGTGTCCAACTCTTGGTTTCAGCTCAGGTCATGATCTCAGTTTGTGAGCCCCATGTCGGGGCTTTGAGCTGACAGCAAAGTCTGCTTTGGATTTTCTTTCTCTCTGCCCCTCCCTGGCCTGTTCTATTTCTCTCAAAATAAATAAACATTTAAAATGGGCAGAGGATCTAAACAGACATCTTTCCAAAGAAAATGTACAGATAGCCAACAGACATGTAAAGATGCTCAACATTACTAATCATCAGGGAAATACAAAGCAAAACCACAATGAGGTATCACCTCACACCTGTCAGAATGTGGAAATAACAAGAAATAACAAGTATTGGGGAGAATGTGGAGAATGTATTGTTGTGGGAATGTGCACTGTTGCGGGAATATAAACTGATGCAGCCACTGTGGAAAACAGTATGGAGGTTTGTCAAAACGTTAAAAATAGAAATACCATATGATCCAGTAATTCTACTACTGGGTATTTACCCAAAGAAAACGAAAACACTGACTCGAAGAGATACATGCATCCCTATGTTTACTGCAGCATTATTTGCAACTGCCAAGATATGGAAGAACCCATGTCTATCAATAGATGAGTGGATAAAAAAGATGTGGGGGCACCTGTGTGGCTCAGTCAGCTAAGTGTCCAACTCTTGATTAGGACTCAGGTCATGATCTCACAGTTTGTGAGTTCAACCCTGCGTCAGGCTAACAGTGTGGGGACTGCTTGGAATTCTGTCTCTCCCTCTATCTCAGTCCTTCCTCCCAAAATAAATACAACTTAAAAAAAAAAAAGTTAAAAAAAAAATCAAACGATGTGGAGTGTGTGTATATATGTATATATGTGTGTATATATGTACGTATATACATATATACGTGTGTCTATGTATCTATATACACGTGTGTGTGTGCATGCGTGTGCACACACACACACACACACGGATATTACTCAACCCTAAAAAAGAATGAGATCTTGCCATCTGCGACAACATGGACAGACCTAGAGGCTAAGTGAAACAAGTCAGAGAAAGACAAATAACATATGATTTCACTTACGTGTGGAGAAATAGACACACAAATACAGAGAACAAACTGATGGTGGCCAGAGGGGAAAGGATGGGGGATGGACAAAAATGGGTGAAGAAGTGGGAGACATAGGCTCCAAGTTACGGAATAAGTCACAAGCATACAAGGTACAGCATGGGGAATATAGTCAGTGGTGTTATAATGGCTTTGTATGGTAACCGTGGCTACACTTGTGGTGAGCACAGCCTAAATATAGAGGTGTTAAATCACTATGTTGTATATCTGAAACTAATGTAGCATTGTACATCAAGTATACTCAAAAAAAAATAAAATAAAAGTCTCATGCAAAACTTAATCAAATGCAGAAAGCGCTAATATAAATTGGCAAAACCAAACATAATTCTGAAATAACAGAAGTTAACTGAGGTATTATATATTTACACCAATAATGCCATATAGCCAAGAAAAAAGCACAAATCCAGCCACCATCAGACCAGGCAGGGTATTATATGCTTAAAAGACCTACTACTTATTTCAATAACCAAGAGAGAATTGCATGACCAAAAGCCATGGCATAGCAGGGAATTAAACTTTCATTGCTTCAAAAGAGTATTTTTTTAAAACATCTGTACACATAAAAATTGGTAAGGCTTTTACATTTTCTTGACTCATAACTCCTTATGTCCAAAAACTACATCAAACACAGATTTTTAGGTTGTATGTGGATTTTTGTTAAAAACAGAAAAAAACTTTAAAAAATCAATTCATTATTTAAAACATTAGCATTTTATGGGGCGCCTGGGTGGCGCAGTCGGTTAAGCGTCCGACTTCAGCCAAGTCACGATCTCGCGGTCCGGGAGTTCGAGCCCCGCGTCGAGGCTCTGGGCTGATGCCTCAGAGCCTGGAGCCTGTTTCCGATTCTGTGTCTCCCTCTCTCTCTGCCCCTCCCCCGTTCATGCTCTGTCTCTCTCTGTCCCAAAAATAAATAAAAAACGTTGAAAAAAAAAATTAAAAAAAAAAAAAAAAACAAACATTAGCATTTTAGCCTGTAACTCAGCACATCTTTTGGAAATGAGAAAATTTCTAAAGAAATAAAGGAGTGCACAGGAAGATTTACATATCTGAACAGGGGCACTGGTTTGAGTGAACTATTAGGAACTGCCTAAATGTTAAACAATAAGGGATAAGTTAAATCATAAACCAGACTCTTTGGACCACCCAATATTTTGAGATTTTGCTAAAAGAAATGAACTCTTATCCCAGAATTATGAACATAAGGATACCCCAAAATTTTTGCATGCAATGAAGGAGATTTACAAATAACTGAAGCTTAAACCATCTTACCCAGGCTAGAAATATTTAGTATCATGTAAACATTATGTTCATATTACATTGTTAAATGAAAAAAGCAGGGGATAAACCAGTAGATGCAAAAAAAGAAATATGTATCTATGAACAGTAAGACAAGAGACCAAGTTATTAGGAGTGGTTATCCTCGGATAGAATTACAGATAATTTATATTCCTCTATGATTTTGTATATTCTCTGTATTTTCTATAATGAACTAGTTATATAATAAGAAAATGTGAGTAAGAATTTATCCTGTACAAATTACTAACAAAGTTAGCAATAGGCTCAAATTATGTTCATTTTGTCAAGTTTCAAAGTATGTAATAAGAAAATAATAAATCACTGATGATCACTGATAACAGGGTACTCATGGATAACTAAGATCATCCTGTAAATCTGCTAGATGGAGAAAGGTCAGAGTACTTCCTATTTCATGTAATACCACAAACTTAAAAGCAATCACAGGCAATAACTAAAAGTTCTCTTTTGTAAATACAAAACTATTTTTTGCTGTTGGACTTCAGGATACTTTGTAAAGAGTCTAAAATAAGTTTTTAAAGAAACAAAGATCAGAACAAAAACTTACATTTTCTATTGTGTATTAACAGAGCTTGTTTCAGATCTATGGTTGCTCTTCCTAATAAAGCATCTGCCTTTAAAGTATAATGACTCCAAACTCGAAATTCCAATGTAGTCTGTGGGGTCACATTTCTGTATGGGTAAAATTATAACAAAAATACAGGAGTATACATTTACTTCAATAATTTTTAAAAAGCCATGAATTCAGTTTGAGAAAAAATACTGTATGAAACAGTAAACTATCTGAATTATAAATAAAAATAATGATTTGCTTTCACGTATATTAGGACTTCAGTAACTAAGAATTTTTATAATTAGCAAACCAAAATAGCAGCAATAGATCAAGAGTCCTGTTGAGATTTCACAATAACACTATTTCTATTTGAACAAATTCCTAAAGATTTAAGACAACTGATGGCATTATTTTTTAACACTTCTACTATGCCAACATTATGTTTCAAATGACAAAATTAAGGATAACTGATTTTTTACACTATTTTTACAAGACAGTAACAGAAAATATGGGTATATGGAATAATGCAGTTAATAAAACAAAAAGCAAGAATTATTATACTTCCTCTCTAAAGAAAATAAAATTAACCAAAAGTCTCATCATACTTAAAATTGTATATTCACACTAGAAAATTGCACTCCTACTTTGAAGTCATCTTACAACTACAACAACAAAGTCACAAAAGATTTTCAAGCACACTTTCCCTTTTGGAAATTTTGCATTCTCTATGCAAGGTACTTACACGGTTAGTTGTTCATCCCATTTTGGATTAGAAGAACTACTGGATTTTGCTGTTTTCTTAATTTCTCCATCTACAACTACTTCTGTATATATTGCTGTTCCAAACCAGTTCTTTTTTCTTTTTAGTTTGGCACTAGAAACTAACAGAAACATGATAATCAGTAGTGAATACATGTAAACAAACAGTATTTTGTAGTAATAAATCAATAAAAACAGAACTGTGCTTCTTAAGCAACTTAAACTCTTTTCCTTGGAGAATGAAGAAACAATACAAAAGGGCTATTATTGATAATGCCCAAGAATCATTTGAATTCTTGACAGTTTTACAGAAATAAAATTCACATACCATATAATTCACCCATTTAATCTGTATAATTCAATGTTTTTTTTTTTATTTTTTTACATTTATTCATTTTTGAGAGACAGAGAGAGACAGCACAAGCGGGGGAAGGGGCAGAGAGAGAGGGAGACAGAATCTGAAGCACCTTCAGCCTCCGAACTGTCGGCACAGAGCCTGACGCGGGGCTCAAACTCACAAACCGCAAGATCATGACCTGAGCCAGTCAGATGCTTAACCAACTGAGCCACCCAGGCGCCCCTATAATTCAATGGTTTCAATATATTCACAGTTGTGCAACCATCACCATAAGCGAATTAAAAACATATTCATCACCCCAAAAAGAAACCCCACATAGTCACCCTATTTCCTCCCAGTCCCTCCCCCTTGGCCCCAGGCTACTACCAATTACTCTCCATTTCTACAGATTTGCCTGTTCTGGACATTTCACAGAAATGGATTCATATAACATATGGTTTTTTGTGACTGTCTTCTTTCACACTTAGCATGCTTTCAAGGTTCATCCATGTTGTAGCATGTATCAGTACTTCATTCCTTTTATTGACAAATAATATTCCACTGTACAGGTATCCTTTTTATCTGCCCATTCATCAGTTGATAGAGATCTGGGCTGTTTCTACTGGGTTGTTGGGTTGTTGTCTATTGTGCATAATGCTACTATAAACATTCATGCACAAGTTTTTGTGTGGACATATGTTTTCATTTCTCTTGGCATACACCTAGGAGTGGAACTACTGGGTCATATGATAACTCTGTTGAATAATGCCAGACTGTTTTCCAAAGTAGTTGTACCATTTTACATCCCCACCAGCAGGATATAAGGGTTCCAATTTCTCCACATCCTTGCCAACCATTTGAATTTAATAATGAACTGCTCAAGCATCAAGAGAAAGGTAAGTATCTTCAGATTCAACATACCTATTAACCTGTGCACTACAGGTAGTGTTTCATACTTGCCTACTGAAAATTATATGAACTTGGGCAATATTTAAAAAAATGCTTTATCCGGTTTTTTGGTTTCCAAAAAAAGGGAAGTATTTGCTTTTTCAAATAAAAACCTTAATATCAAAATGTCATTTGAGAAATTAACCATAACCCTTCACAGAAAGTGAATTTTATATCAAATTGACCTGATCTGGAGGAAGACCTATTTAAGCTAAGCAATTAATTTTAAATAATTTTTACAACTACTAATTCAAATAAGGAGTATGTATTTTCAGCGCAAACTACGACTACCAGCAGTAATAACAACTTATCAAGATCACCTCTATCATCTATTACCTATGAATACATGGGTCTGAGATGAGAAAGTGGAACACTTCCTCCATAACGTATCTGTATCACATGTTAAGGATAGGAACATAAGCTAATGCCTTCCATTCTACTGTGAGAAAATAGTAACAGTCACACAAATAAATCACTGAAATACAAAGTGATAAATGCTGCCACAAGTATTTGAAATATAGTATATCTTTAATTAATATCTGAAGTACAGCAAGAGAGACTCAAAGAAATACTATAATTAAGTACTGGTAACATAAAACAATCAGAGTGTTCAATGGTATGCCTGAAGTGCTATTATCAAGGTCTTGGCAAAACTCATTCCCATCCTTCTGTTGCAAATTGCTCTAAGTTCAATACCACTGTAGCGACATAGAAGGCACAGACATCTCTCTCTCAAAAAGTCCCCCACCCAAGATTCTTCACTCCAAATTGAAGAGTGATTTCCTCAAAATAAGCAGGGCTTATCAATACACTAGAAGGGGAAGGCAATACTGCATGGTGTTAAAAGCAAAAGGTGTCTTTTCAACAAATGGTGCTGGCACAATTGGACATCCACATGCAAAAATATTAATGCAAGCACAAACCTAACATCCTTCATAAATTAACTCAAAATGTATCACAGACCTAAATGTAAAACATAAAACCATAAAACTCTTTAGAAGATAAGAAAATCTACATGACCTTGGGTATAGTGATGCTTTCTTAAATACAACACCAAAGGCATGATCCATGAAAGAAACAACTGATAAGTTGTCTTTTGCAGAGCAGAAGTTTTTAACATTAATGAAGTACAATGTCAAGAGAATAAGAAGACATACCACAGAATGAGAGAAAATATATGCAAAAGACACATCTGATAAAGAACTGTTGTCCAAAATATATACAGGACTCTTAAAACTCAACAATAAGAAAACAACTTTATTTTTAAAAAATGGGCCAAAGACCTTAACAGCACTTTACCAAATAAGTATGTGGACAACAAGTAAGCATATGAAAAGCTGTTTAAAATGTTATCTGAAAAAAACAAATTTAAGCAACCATGAGATACCACTACACATACATATTAGAACAGCCAAACTCTGGAACACCAGCAACACTAAATGTTGCAGAGTATGTGGAGGAACAGGAACTCTTACTCATTGCTGGTGGGAACGCAAAATGGTATAGCCACTTTGAAAAACAGTTTGTTGGTTTCTTATAAACTAGACACACGCTTACCATATGAGCCAGGAATTGTACTCCTTGGTATTTATCCAAAGGAGGTGAAAAGTTGTATCTACACAAAAAAAACACACATGGATATTTACAGCAGTTTTATTCATAACTGCCAAAACTTAGAAGCAACCAAGATGTCCTTCAGTAGGTGAATGAACAAACTGTAGTATACCCAGACAATGGAATATTATGCAGCACTAAAAAGAAATAAGCTATCAAGCCACAGAAAAACCTAGAGAAAACTTAAATGCATATTTAAGTTTTATTTAGTTTTACCAAATGAAAAATGTCATTCTGAAAAGGCTATATACTGCATAATTCTAACTATACAACATTCCAGGAAAGACAGTAAAAAGATCAGTGGTTGCCAGGGCTTGGGGAATGGGTGAGGAATGAATAGATGGAGCACAGAAGAATTTTAGGGCAGTGAAAACACTCTATGTTACTATAAAGATGGATACAGGTCATTATACAATTATCCAAACCTGCAGAAGGTATAACAACAAGAATGAGCCTTAAAGTAAACTATGCACTTTGAGTGACTATGATGTGTGAAAGTAGGTTCATCAATTGTAATGAATGCCCCACTCTGGTGAATGATTATTAATGGAGGAGGCTGTGCATGTGTAGGATCAGAGGTATATGGGAAATCTCTGTAACTTCCTCTCAATTTTGCTGTGAACCTAAAACTGCTTTTAAAAAAAATAAGTCATATGTGGACACATCTGGGTTCATATTTAACTCTGCCACTTACTAGATACCTAACCTTAAGTAAATCAATTAACCTCTCTGATCCTCAATTTTTTCATTTGAAAAATAGGGGAACAATAGTATCTGATTCTTAGGATTGGTGAAGGAAAGCCTACAAGTACAATTATTATAAATGCATGCCTGGGGCGCCTGGGTGGCGCAGTCGGTTAAGCGTCCGACTTCAGCCAGGTCACGGTCTTGCGGTCCGTGAGTTTGAGCCCAGCGTCAGGCTCTGGGCTGATGGCTCAGAGCCTGGAGCCTGTTTCTGATTCTGTGTCTCCCTCTCTCTCTGCCCCTCCCCCGTTAATGCTCTGTCTCTCTCTGTCCCAAAAATAAATAAACGTTGAAAAAAAAAATTAAAAAAAAAATAAATAAATAAAAATAAAAAAAAATAAATGCATGCCTGGCACCCACTTATGGTAACTATTACTCTATCATTATCATTATTATTCTTATTTACTGTATAGAATTAACTCTTCTGAGTTAATTACAGATACATTCAAAATCTATCCATTTTACACCTTTTATTGGCAAAGTCTTCAATAATACTAGGTGCTAGCAAGGTAAATAAAGTGATTTTTAAAAGACAATTTGGGCAAAAATTTAATATAAATAACTAAAATGCTATGATTTTAAGTAACTAAAAGATAACCTTGTTAATTCAAGTAGGATTCTAATTAGTGAAATACATAGGATAAACTTTATTTTCCCATTTAATAAGTTTCCTTTGGTGTTATACACAAAACGTCCTCTCTTCTAAGATTACATAAATACTTAAAAATCTATCAGAAAGAGTCCGTATGCGTGTATCTAAAGAGACAACATTTAAGAGACCCACTCATAATAATAACACCTCAAGACCCAGTGCTAATATCATCCTCAATGGGGAAAAAATGAGAGCTTTTCAAGAACAAGGTCAGGAACAAGACAGGGAGGTCCACCCTGGCCACTGTTATTCAACACAGTATTAGAAGTCTTAGCCTCAGCAGTCAGACAACACAAAGAAATAAAAGGCATCCAAATCGGCCAGCAGGAGGTTAAACTTTCACTCTTTGCATATGACACCACACTCTATACGGAAAACCCAAGATTCCACCAAAAAAACTGCCAGAACTGATCCATGAATTCAGCAAAGTCGCAGAATATAAAATCAATGCACAGAAATCGGTTGCATTCCTATACACCAATAATGAAGCAACAGAAAGAGAAATCAAGGGATCAATTCCTTGCACCAAAAACCATAAAATACAGGATAAATCTAACCAAAGAGGCGAAAAATCTATACACTGAAAACTACAGAAAGCTTATGAAAGAAATTGAAGAAGACACAAAAAAATGGAAAAACATTCCATGCTCATAGATAGGAAGAACAAGTATTATTAAAATGTCAATACTACCCAAAGCAATCTACAAATTCAATGTAATACCTATCAAAATAACACCAGCATTCTTTAAGGAGCTAGAACAAACGATCCTAAAATCTGTACGGAACCAGAAAGACCCCGGATAGCCAAAGCAATATTTTAAAAGAAA